CTCCTCTGCGCTGCAGGTCACCGTGGAGCAGTTACTCTCCTCTGTGCTGCAGGTCACCGTGGAGCAGTTACTCTCCTCTGTGCTGCAGGTCACCGCGGGCTGGAGGCAACTTGCTGACACTGGGTCTGGATTTTTTTTAACTTTATTCAATATAGCAGAAGTCTAACAAATGGCAAAAAGGGGGGGAAATCTAAGAGTTCCTCAAAGTTTACTATGATCAAGTCTGAGCTGCAGAGTCACTAAAGCAATAATACATCTGCCTGGTACAAACAGGCTCTGCTTCAACGAAGATAGCCCCATGATTAAGAGCAGCAAGTGAGTGAGTGAACAGAATTGAGCTATGAGAAATTTCAAGTACAGCTTGAAAGTGGCCAGAAAAGACTTAAAAACACCTGAAAATGCAATGCTACAAATTACGTCATAACTTTAACATCAAGGGTTCCCATGGTTACGTACAAGACATGGATTACCTGGTTTACAGATGGTGTATGTCTGAAATGCCAAACTGAGGTCAGCGTTCCTAAGAATGTCCAACAAAGCCTCTGGAGACTCTCTGAGCCACTGCTTACGGGCACTGTTTTCCTTGTGCCTTATTACAGAGCCACCTAGGTGAGAAAAGGTAAAAACTGCTGTTGCTGTCGCCGTCAGGTGCCATCATGTTGGTTCCGGCTCATCCCGACCTAAGCACAACAGAACGGAACACCACCCGCCCTTCACCACCCTCACAGGTGTTGCAACAGCTGCGTCAGTCCAGCTCGCCAAGGCCCTTCCTCTCCAAGCAGGACCCTTCTCTAGGGACTGGTCTCTCCTGGCAACACGTGCAAAACACATGAGAAGACCAAGGCTCGCCAGCCTCCCCTCTAAGGAGCATTCTGGCTGCACTTCTAGGATTTTGTACTTCAAGGTTTCTGGCTTCAAGGACTGCAGCCTTACTCAAGGTAAAGAAAACCAAAATCCTCACAGATGGACCGATAGGTATCATTATGATACAGAGAGAAAAGACTGAAGTTGTCAAGGATTTCATCTTGTCTGGATCTACCATCAGTGCTCATGGGGGCAAGGGTCAGAGATGAAAGGATGCACTGCAGGGGGTCACTCTGCTGCACAGACCTCTTTGAAGTGTGGAAAGGCCAGGGTGGTATTTTGGAGGACTATGGTGGCTCCTGACCCAAGCCATGGTATTTTCAATCAACTCATATGCATGAAAAGTGGGACACTGAATAAGGAAGATGGAAGAAGAATCGTGCATTTGAACAATGGTGTCGGTGAAGTATGCTGAAGGAACAATGGACTGTGGAAATAATAAACAAATCTTAGAAGACAAGGAAAACATTAATTGCCAAAAAAAAACCCCATTCTTTTCAGCATATCTCTTCGAGCTACATCATCAGGCAAAGCTCACTCCACGCTGTAGTGCCCTCACATGTTTTGTCATCTATTGTATCAGTCTGTCAGAGCAGCATTCTGATGGGTCACACCAACGAGCTTCCAAGAGGGACATTACACACACACAAAGCCTCTACCATTAAATAAATATTGAAAAAGGTTCTTTTAAAAAAAAATAATTTCATTGGGGGCTCATACAGAAAAAGGTTCTATAGTTTAAAAAAGTAGTATTCAATCTGACAACCAACCTTGAGTGTCCTCGGCTGTGAAACTGGAGGCCAGTACGGGTGCGTTCTGCAAAGCCGTGACAGCTGTCCTGGAAACGTCTTTCGCCCACTGTTGCCTGCAAGGGCTTAGGGGATTGGCTTTCCTCCAATGGGCTGATTTATTCTCTACTTTTAAAATATAAAAAAGGAACACCAAACACGCTATATTATTGGTTTAACTATACCTATACATACAACGTAACAACACCAAGTGTTTTATTTTCTCTTTAAATGTTTTTCAGAGGTAAGTAAAAAACGAAAAGGTGCAACGAATCGTTAAAATGACTGAATCAGAAAAACGTGCATGGACAGTTAAGGGGCTCGTGACATCCACAATACATTCTGCGAAACAGGAATCTCTGTGATTTGAACGTTGGGCAAGCATCCTATTGTACTCTGGTCCTCCTTTTCCTTTTCCTTTAAGCCTCTCGAACAAGCTTTGTGCCTTAGCAGGGATCATCGCTACATGGAGAGGGACTCGCTTTTGAGTCTGGTCTTTAACTGAGGTCACTGCCGGTTCCTCCCTCTCCGCGGTCGGTCCTTGGAGCTCTCAGGGGAGCTGATCCTGTAACAGCTTAGAGAATTTTTCTTTGCTTTGGAGGAGCACTGTGATCGTCAAGTGTGACATGCTGAAAATAATGAGCAATCGCTTCTGTTGAAGCTCCACCTGTGTTGTTTAAAGCCCTTTGGTTTCACCTCTTAATGGTCACTTTGCCTTTTGCCGTGGCTATCACTTGCCTTGGATGTGTTGCACGGGGAGCCATGCTGGACTTCGTAGAGAGAGAGCACTACCGTATGGGAGAAGAGACTGAGAAACGGGGCGCTGCTACTTACGGGTCGAAGTCTTCGCTGTTGTACAGCAAACTTTTTGGACAGAAAATACAGGGCATGCCATGCAAGCCAGTACCATAGGCCTTTATTCTGATTGTCAAGGCAATATGGATGACAGGTTACATGGATGTAATGTACCATTAATACACTTTATATGAAAGTATATTAATTAAAAGGAGCCCAATCACTTTATATGACACACGAGATACACATTTATACACAAGAGACCTGAGGCACGTGTCGCCTGCAGGAATGTTGCACTTGTTACATTCCAAGCTCTGATCAGGATTCTTAAACTCTTACTACACGAGGGAGCTTCAGTGAGTTCATGGGAAAATGGAACTAAAAGATAATGGAATTCTTCCGAGAACTTTCTGAAGCCTCTTCCTAAGCTTATGGGACTGCGGATGTATATGTGGTCAGACACTTTCCCAAACTTATTTAGCCTACTGTCTCCTTTTCAGGGAAAAACAAATTACTCAGTACTACCTTGGCAATTACTAACTTTCACACGGTAGGCCATAATCTGGGAGAAAGTGGAGGCATCTGCCTTTGCAGCACCTCGGGATAGCTCCAGCGTCTCCTGGGGAAAATTTGTCATGCACTGTGGGAGGCACTGGTCGACACAGATGCTATGTAGGACTTGGCTATATTTATACGTTACACCATACATGAGCTCAAAGCCCTAACAGGCCTTACATACACACACTTAGGCCATATTTTTTGTGGTGGATACGATAACAAATACTTCTTTTCCTAATGGCTGCTATAGGGAAACACTGTTGTCTCTCCTTTTATGAAATATAAAGTCTTCTACACCATTAAATAGATGACTGGATGTGACAGTTTTATGTCAACTTGGCTAGGCCATGAGTCTCAGTGGTTTGGCACTTACATGTTTTTCTACAGGATTAATGTAATATTTTCATGGCTACATTTCAAGGTCAGCCCATAAAAGTCTTCTCAGTGACCCAGAAGAAATCAAAGTAAATATAGTACTAGTAATGAAACAGAACCTAGTCCCTAATCTACAACAATCTTTCTATTACTAAAATCTCCAAACTGGGTTTTCTTGATCCCAGAAAAACTAAATGTATAAGACTAAGAAACAGAATTATGCCTGAAGTAACAAAAATAACATTTTTACTTGAAGAATATCTATTGTTTCTAAAAACTTACATATTAATCTTTCCTTGATTGCTATGCCACATCTTAAAAGAGTAAACTTTAAAAAAAATCCTTTACCCTTTCTGTTCGGTGTACTAGCCTGGGATTTTCCAGTTTCTTCTAATATCTGCTCCCCATATTCTATGATGATCTGAAATTTTAAAAAGAATTCACAGACGTGAGAGGAACTTGTCTTGGACACTGCCACAATGTAATTTCCTTGGTAGCATTCATCCCCACTTCAGTCAAGTTGGTAAGAATGACATGTACAAATATATAATTTAGACCAGGGGTCCTCACAGTTTTTAAACAGGGAGCCAGTTCACTGTCCCTCACACCCATTGGAGGGCTGGACTATAGTTTAAAAAAACACTATGAAAAAATTCCTATGCACACTGCACATATTTTATTTTGAAGTTAAAAAAGGGGGGGTGGGGCAAAACGCCCAGCGAGCCGGATAAATGTCCTCTGCAGGCCGCATGTGGCCCACAGACTGTAGTTTGAGGACCCCTGATTTAGACAGACAGTTATGTCTGGAAAAAGATCAGAAAAGTATGCACGTGGTAACTGGGATTATATTAGGGAAGTAGCATTGTGGGAGGGAGAAGAGGAAGAAAAGGAAGTTTTAACTCATATTTTTTTAGACACTTCTGCATTGTTTGGATTTTAACAAGTACAATGTGCCAATTTTTTTTTAACTGCTTTACCACACACCAATAGACTGCTCCCAGTCAACCCAACATATATCGTACCTCTTGTGGTAGGCACTTCTGGATAAGCCGGGCTAAGCTGCCTCTGGAGAGAAGTGTCGTGGCAGATGGGCGATGGGAGGGATTCCGTTTAAACATCTGTTTGATTAGATACTGGAGTTCGTAGGAATAATGAGATGGCAGTGGACTGATGGACCCTTGGCATATTTTGAGGATAAGAGTTTTCCAACTATTTGCCTGAAACTAAAAAGTACAAATGAACTATAAAAGCAAGCATCTGGAAAGAAAATGGAAGTAAGGAAATACTGCTTGTCCTAAAACTACATATAAATTATTGTAACTTTTAGGGGCAGGTAGGGGGAATCGAGCATAAGGATCAATCTATAACACACACCCCAAAAAAGGGGGGATGGATAATGGAAAAGTGGGTGAGGGGCAACGGAGGATCATGTAAGATATGAACATAATAACCTATAACTTATCAAGGGTTCATGAGGGAAAGTGGGCGAGGAAGGGAGGGGAAAGAAATGGGGAGCTGATATCAGACTCAAGTGGGAAGAGAATGCTTTGAAAATGATGATGGCCAGTTATCTGGCGTCAAAGAACAAAAAATCGTATCATTGTGAGCTCACCTCCATGATACGATCCCTGAAGACAAATGGATGCATAAGCAAATGTGGCAAAGAAAGCTGATGGTGCCCGGATATCAAAAGGTATAGCGTCTGGGGTCTTAAAGGCTTGAAGGTAAACAAGCGGTCATCTAGCTCAGAAGCAACAAAGACCACATGGAAGAAGCACACCAGCCTATGCAATCACGAGGTGTCGAAGGGATCAGGTATAAGGCATCATCAGAACAAAAAATCTTACCATAGTGAATGATTTGTAGGCCACTGGAGATC